GCAGCATTCTGTGTTTGATATACATTGGGTGGAGAACAAACTTTCCGACATTCCTTCTGGACATTGACCACAAAGTGTACCAGATCTGTTTCCATGACAACTATCATAGCTTGCACAATCCTCGGTGTTGCAGCAATATTCTGGTGGACATTGAAGAAAATGGACTTTCATCTTTGTTTTGTAACCCCAAAAGTTCGGTTTGGCCGTAACCAGTATACCGTCACAGTTCCCTCCTCGAGGACATTGCTGGCATTGGATGTCATTGCTTTTATTGAAAATGAATTTGCCTCTTTCGAGTGTGTAGGTTTTCGTTGGACACTGCTCACATCGGACATTGATATATGCACATTTTACGATTCCTATCTTTATAACTGTACATCGTCGTTGCGCGTATACTTTGTATCCTTGCGGACATAAGATCTTGAAATTCGTCTTGATAATCACCCCACCGTTCGTTGGTATGCGAACAAAAACGGCTTGTCTCTCCTTTAAGGCGACTAAATTAAATGTATTTTCGCCAGCAAAATTAACTAGTCTATTCCCTGATGCAAAAAACTGATTGGAGAGTACTTTAGTTTGCTGGTTTTCAAAATACGAATTGAAAAAAGTGACTTTCGCCTTTTCGGAAATTTTCACTACGCTTGTGTAGGAATTTTGAGTAGCCCCGTTGTCGAGGAAACGGCATGACGATACGAGGCTTTTACCCATGGCGAAGTAAATTGCTGCTGCACAATCAGGTTTCAGTAAATCATAGATATTATTAACAAACGTGTTATTTTCATGAATTATTGTGGGATATGTATACGTGTTAAGATGTCTACCACTAAAATAATTGGTGGAAGCGGAAAGTGCGAACGAATTATTCCTGAAAATGCTGTCTCGAATCATAACTTCTACCTCTGTGTAATCCAGAAAACCAGCAGTTAGTGACAATGCAGGCAAGTCACTGTAGTTGTTTTCGATTAATAGATTGCTCAAAAATATGAATGTTATGTATCGGGGCCGTGACTGATGGTCGCACATGTAAACTGTAGAATACTGATAGCTTTGGGATCTGCAAACTGCGAAATGATTTTTGAACTCTGAGTCAGTTATTGTAAGATTGTATATAGCTGCAAATGGCTTTATCGCGAGTAATGCGGCACATTTGTTAATATTTTTACCATTAAAAATCGTATCTCGAACCAAAACCTCCGTTTTTTGCCAGCGTGTTGGCGTATTTGCAATGTTAGTCAAAAACACGGGAGTAAATTCGAAGTTACTAGAGGTTATATGTGCAGTGAGATTAGAACATCGCAAATAAATTCCCAAGTTAAAATTATTCTCAAAACTTGAGTTTGTTATCAGAATGGAACAGTCAGTCGAATGTTTGCTGCGGATAGCATAGTAATTATCCCTGAGCAACATATTTTGATATACCAATTCCATCCTGGCTCCTTTGTAAATCTCTGTTACAACACTTGAACTCGATATAACCAAGTTGAAGAATTTGATGCGTGTTATGTTAAAACCCGGACTCGTTATGATGAAAAAATTGCAACGTTTGTTACACTGAAGTGCAGCTCTTCCGTTGATGCCGTAGAATGAAACAGATTTTGTCAATTCGATTGAGCATGTTGATTGTGTCACATTTTCGCATTCCATGTAAGGTCTCCCTTGTGCATAATCAATATAAATTTGATCTCCATCATTAGACATCTTCACTGCGTGTCGCACAGTGAGACATGACATAGTCCAGTTATCACAATTATTGAGATCATCGCCACGGTGGCTGACAAACAGCGAATTAGTCTTAACGTCCCGAATACCTAAAATATTGATTCATAAAAGTGGATGAAATCAAGCAATTATAAAAGACCAAAACAATATATAAGCATCCGTGTTGATATTGATGCAAATATATCGTATATGAATAATAGATCACGGAGGTAAAAATCATTCAGATTAACTCAAAAACCTAATCTTTAACCAAAGTTAAAACTACCAATTAGCCATATAGTTGATTTCTATCCAAATAAGTATGTTTAGAATTAAAGTCATATTCTTCTACCGGTTAAAATATTCGTGTTTGATTTGCCGTGGGTAGTATATAATACAACGCCATTAGTATTATATAGTATTAGTAACGTTCCACTCACTACTACCGCTACTATTAAGGGACTATTAACCAATTAGATACGTCTAATCTACCCGATTAACCAATCAAATGTGTACTATTAAGTCAGTGAAAGGTCGCGATAGTGGTAGTCAAATCCACAGTCACAAACCTCAAATGTTTGCTAGTTCAACCTACCTTGAATAAACAGAAATACAAGAGTCAGTAACCAAATATCAAACATAGTGTAATATAACATGACGGAGAATGACGATTTCCAGTATATTAATTGAAACGAGATCGCGAAACTGATACCAATGCTGACGAAGGCAAACAAATAGTTCAAGTTAAAAGTATTTTGCATTTAATTATTATATTGGCAAGCATCACTCCCAGTGCAATGGCGGACTGTGATTGGCCGAGAGGAACTTGCAGCGGTCCATTATTTTCTTGTAATGGACCCGCCGGTCCATTACGTATAATACGTAAAAACAAACGCACGCATTTTAAAACAAATCAGCTAAACTAATTGAAAATTTAAAAATTATAATTTAGTTTGTTATTAATTACATTAATACATTACATTCAACCTCGTACCCAGGGCTTTTTGCTTCCGCGGTTGGATGGTCAGCGAAAAAGGCCCTGGCTTCGGCTGGTCTGTTTTGCAACCAGATTGGTCAATGATTTTGAATGTTATTATTATTTTGGTGGAACGAGAGTGGAGTGACAAATTTATAATTAGTACTTGAAGGACTAAAGTATTGAGCAAATAAGATTTTTGACATTTCCCTTGAGATACAGCATGAATTAGGGAAAGACAACACAAAACAATTTGGTCCAAATTAAGTCTTTGTATATTTTGTATAGACGAGTATTTGCTTCGGTTCAACATATATTTCTCACATGCGTTGTTTACACATCGTTGATTTCAAGAAATGTACAGAGTTATAGTCAAATAAAGATTGTGATACAAATGTATTTTGCTCATATTAAACACGATTTATATAAACCAAACCTTGTTTTGTTTAGTTACTTATTAGGTTATGTTTAAAAGTCATCAATATTACGGGTTATGTTGCTGAATGAAGTGTGAACAACGAAAACCGAATAAATTCAACTAATTTTGTTGCTTTCTCTTTGATTATATACGCAGCATTGAGTTTGTTTACTCCTGTCAGTAATTACAATATGTATAATTATTCTATATACGTACTTATACGCATAAATTATCATAAATGAACATCCCAAATACTGGAGATTTTGAGATCATGTGACCGGCCGATGCCAGGGCCATTTTCGCTGATCATAAGCAAAATGCCCTGGGTACGAGGTTGACATTACATTATTATTCAGCTCATTCCCCATTCGGGTTTTTCAGTGGCCGCTTACATCAAGTATTACGCTTACTTATGTTACTTACTTAGCCTAAACTATTAATCTTTACAACAATTGTGATTACTTTTTTAACTGTGTTTATCCTAACCCAACCTGTCATCTTCTCCGGATCCTGTGGGAGGAAACGGGAGCGCCCGGAGAAAACCCACGACTTTCGGTAGAGCATTGACAGACTCTTTTCACATGAGTCCGTAGCCAGATCAGTCAGAGGTGAAAGGCACTTGCCCTGACAATGGACCTTTCACCTTTTGACTAAAATTTAGATCTCAACAAGTCTAGACAAAAATTTCATCACAGCTTGAAAGAGCATCACAAAATTAGTAATATTCCAAAGTTTCATTGCGAAATGTTGTAAAATGCGGATAATATAGCCTTGCGAAGTTTGCCATTTTCAGTCATTTTGTATTACGCGCGGGAAATACATACCTCCTTCGGAAAAAGGGTATGTATTTCCCGTTTGTAATACAAAATGACTGAAAGTTGCAAACTTCGCAAGGTTATATTATCCGCATTTTACAACATTTCGCAACGAAACTTCGGAATATTACTAATTTTGTGATGCTCTTTCAAGCTGTGATAAAATTTTTGTCTAGACTTGTTGAAATCTAAATTTTAGTCAAAAGGTGAAAGGTCCATTGCAAATTTCATAGTATGGATTTCACATTTTTTCCCAACAACTCCTGGTTAGGTCTAATAAATATATTAAGGCCTGTTTACTCTTGCAATTTTTGCTGTGATTTTCTTCTCCAGATGTATGTGAACGAGTGGATGAGTTAGGAATATTTAGATGAGGGTACACATAGTCAGAGCATGGATAATAAAATAAGTGGATAGGAAACTAGCTGACGTGACCTAATGTTTTCAATGGGCTGATGGCGTGATTGGATGTTGAAACCTAGTTGCAGACCAAATTCTCAAAAACGGCATGTTTAGCAATAATATAGCTAAACATTTTAGTCAAAGAGCAAATGAATATAACTACGCCATTCTACGATGAAATCTCTAAGTATTCCCAGTCAATTTTAGCAAATATTTCAAGCACTAAACAGTGAAAAAGGCATCCCAAATTTCTTTAAAATTGGGGACCCCAATTTCGTAGCTACAAATGTAAAAAAAAATACAAAACAAAGACGAAAAACATTTACCTTGAATACTTTGTCGTGGCTTAGGCATGTTTTTAAAACAATTAGACCAGTATATGTTTCAATATTACTCTTTTAAAGCAGAAAGTATAGCGAAACAACAAAAATGCCGAGAACTTTGCAATACGCGTGACGTCACAGATTGCAACTAGGTTGTTTTTGCTTACGTCAGCTAGAGTCCTATCCATTTATTTTATTATCCATGGTCAGAGCATTCATAACTTATTCAATTGTTCACATCCATGATCAGAAGAGGAAAATCGCACTAGAAATTGCAGCAAAAATGGCAAATGTAAACGGGCCTTAAAATGAACACTCGAAAATTCTATCCACAAAACCATTCAACAGTACAGATGTAAAGTGCTACCAACCTGATACCAATCCCCCAAGAAACGCGTCCCCTGCCCCGGTCGCATCCACCACACGTGACACACGAACTGATGGAACTTTAACTAACTGTTGGGAAAAAATCGAAACAATATCTGCGAGTCCAAAATCACGTTAAAAGGAATGTTGTTCAATGTTGCAAATTAAGGTTGGACAAACGGGAGAATATTCAAAGAATGATGTTTTTGAGAAAACGCAACCGGAAAACATTTGAAGACATTTGAAACAACAATGTTTCCCAGCTTAGTTCCTGCCTTTCGCTTCCGCGATGCTAGCCGCGCTGGGGAAAGACGGGAGGCGAGAAGGCATAGGCATAGCACAATTCGCAAATCTGCTCTTCTCGGAACCATTTTTGTCCTTCGAGTTGCCCTGGGTCCTACATATTTACATCGCTGTTTTTGTATAACTTTATGCATTTGGGATGACAATTTTAACCCGTGATTTAATGCGATTTAAGGCGAGTTTAGATCCCAGAGTATGCCTGCTATAAGCCTTCTCCCGCGATTAAAAACCGATCCAGTCACTAGACTAGATATGTTTGCAGAACTCACATGGTTTTCTGTGGCCAAGATGGAGGAATCTTCACCACATGTAATTGCGATAAGTTTTGAACCACACGCTTCTCTCATAACTTTGGTTAGTTCCACCATGTTGTCAACCCTTCACAAATAAAATCCATCTTAATTTTACATGCGAGAAGTCGATTTTAAAACACATTATAGATAAAAGTGGTATACAGAAAACTTACATTATCTCAGATGCTAAGTAAGGAAGCATTTCTTTGGCAGCGTGCTTCGCTGGCTTCAAGATATCGGCCGTTCTTACGCATCTAAATACAAAAAAGACACAGTGATTTATTAAACTCTCATAATTGGTACCCAGGGATCGGTCGTACGAAACGTCGAAAGCATAGCCCGAAACAACGTTCAAAATTTGTTCGGAAAAATATCCTACCAAAATAAAATTTGATCGGAATCTCTGAAATTTGGTCGGATATTTTTTCGATTCCATTTTGATTTCACGCCTTCGTTGGATAAATTAAGCCAATATATAAATAATACTCTATGCCAAACACAAGCCAGTATAGTTAAATCTTTTACATTTAACGTTCTTTGCGCGAGGATTGCACACAGCTTATGGTGAACCCAGTCTTTCAAGAAGGTTGATTGCTATTTTTTGTCCGGACAAAATGTCCGACCAAATCAGCATTTGGTTGGAAAAACTGTGATTTGGCCAGAAAATGTCCGATGTCCGTCCGTTATTCCAGGCTCTGCTATACACCAGACAGTGGTTAAGCTTTCAAGCTTTCTTAAATTGGCCATTGATATATTGGTATTACTCAGACTAAACTTTAGTATAAAGCTAATCAAAAAAGGTTGTCCTTTGCAAACCTTAAACTTCAACCCTTAAACTCTAAGCGTGCAAAGCATAATGGGAGCATCATTTAATCAGTTTAGAAATCATATATGCATGGGGCTCATTTCTTAGAGACATGGTAAATATCTCCTTACGAGAACAATTCAGTCACAAATAGCTGGAATATTCAACTACTAAGCTTCAAACTTGTGCTCCCATTAAGCTTTGCGCGCGTTTAAGGTTGAAGGCTTAGAGATTAAGGTTTGCAAAGGACAACCATTTTTGAATTGGCTGTACAAAAATTAAAGATTAAGCGATTTCATTGGTACTAACTCTATCAGTTCATCAATGGTTCCAAGTTGAGCTTCGTTGATTGCAACCTATAGTGAGAATAAAAGCAAGATATAGAATCAAATACAAATAACCAATATGAATTTCAAAACATGTGCACAAAAATAACGTCTGTACGTTATAGTGTGTTCTTACCGAAGGAGAAACGTCGAGATCTAAGACTGTTGTAATCCCTGCTGCTCTTAAAATCAAGAAATTAGTTTCATAATGGACAGTTCTAATCAATAACATTCTTTGGCAGTAAGTGATTTGCAATGCTGATTGTTTCAATGACAATGATGAAAAATCACATCAGTGCTTTAAAAAAAACTTACTTCGCAGTTTGTAGAACGGCAAGAACGCCAGATAACGGAACTTGAGAAATTTCTGTGGTTAACATTTGACAATCATTCATAATCGCTTTCTCTAAAATTCAAAGAATATAGTCTTCTATGACTATTTCCCATCTATACACACGTAAAAACGCACAAGTTGTTACAGGTCTGCAAACAAGTTGTTACATGCAAATCTGTTCACAAGCTGTCGACAAGTTGTGTTCGCACTGCTTGTTCCCAGTTGTTGCAACAAGTTTGGAACAAGCTGTTGACAACTTGTTACAAGTTTGATGGCATTATCAGACTTGTTACAAGGTTGTTCTAACAAGTCTGATACAGTTATGATATAACAAGAATGTTACAAGGTTGACGACACAAGGTTGTAACAATATTGTTATATCATGACTGTATTGGACTTGTTGGAACAAACTTGCAACAATTCTGATAATATCAACAAGGTTGTTACAAATTGTTAACAGCTCGTTCCAAACCTGTTGACAACTTGAGACAAGCAGTGCGAACACAACGTGTTGACGGTTTGTTGGATGAGAGATTTGAGAAGATGTGAGGTTTTTACGTGATTATCATATGTTTACCGAACACCCTATTTAGCAACCTTCTATCTATCTTCTGCTATTCTTATTACTTTCGTCAGCAAAAGTCCATCATTCTTCTGTCTATAATACTTTTCTCTCATTCCTCATGTCTCTCATCTTTCTATCTATCGTGATCTACCGTAAGCTTTGTAACATTCAGGGTTAAACCTTGATTGGAGCTTGCTCTGTTATTTAACTCTTCGTACGATGATGTACGAAAGCTAATTATTAAAACTAAACTACTAAAACTAAATTTCTTGAATACCTCAAAAGTTGTCAGCTGCTAGTTGGTTATAACTTTATCCATGCACACGTTTCTATACTTTTTTTTTGCGAAAAAACGCTGAATTATAACTTATGAGTGTATGACAATTAATTTCAAGTGTTGTGTCTTTTAACCACATCCACAAAAATAGGTTGCTACACCAAGGGTATTTTTTTGGACGGGGCAGCTATAGCTTTGACACGCCAGCTATATCTTTCTGTCTACCATAATTTTATCAATCATCATCTTTCTGTCTCATTTTTCTGTTTATCATTCTTGAATGCATCTCACATTCTATCACAACCTCATCTCTCATGTTTCGCCATACCAAAATAATGCCTTGCAATTTTCTCGTTCATCAGACTTGTGGCGCCGGTGGCCATCACAATGGACCGCTCACCATCTTCTTGAACAAACACAAACGACTGTTTGAAAGAAAATGATATCACAAAAGGTAAAACATTAATACTTCTCGCATTCTCAAAATTCACTTTTCGTAAGATACAGAATAAGTTTGAGAGGAAACATTCATGCTATGTCAATCGGTAAGTATGTACCGGTTTTCGGCATATAGTCACAGCGATTTGTGGCTATAAAAACTCCAGACACACCGGACGTGATTCGACAACGCGATGTGATTTTTCGATTTTCACTGACCGATAATTTGATCCTAGTTTAAATTTTCCAAATATTTAGAAGCGTTATAACATTTTGAGTTACTTGGTCCACATATCTTTTAAAATTTGCTCTCATTGCACATTGGCCGGCTGTTTTATTTTTCAAAAACTAAAAAATTGCGTCACTTTGTCGAATCGCGTCCGGTGTGTCTGGACCTTTATGGATAGCGGATTTCGCCATTGTATTACATGACCTTACATGTAGCCAATGTGGTTTGCAGCTATAAAAGATACCGGATTTCGGCATACTTATACCCACAGCGGTTTGTGCTTGCAAAGGATACCGGATTACAGTATTCGATCCTTATAGCCACAGAGGTTTGTGGCTATAAAAAATAAAGGATTAATTGCCATACTTTATATATAGCCATGGCGGTTTGTGGCTATAGGAAACGAGATTTCGGCATACTTACTGTATAGCCATCTGCATGGCGGTTTGTGGCTGTAAACAATACAGGATTTCGGTATTCCTTATAGCCACAGGAGGATACAGGATTTTGCCATACCTTATAGCCACGATGGTTTCTGGCTATAAAGGATGGATACCGGATTTCAATATATGTACCAAAATCCTGTAATATATGCTCCTGTAATGAGCATACTGCATGATTTTTGTGTATATATGAGGGTGCTCACGCTTATACCAAAATCCTGCAGTATGTTCATGAGCCTGCTTATGAGCATACTGCATGATTTTCTTGTATATATGAGCATGCTCATGACAATACTTGATATTGATATGCTCATGAGCACACTTTAATGTGCTCACGAGCATGTTTGTGAGCACACTTGAGCAGTAAATTGTCATTGTCCTAGGTCGAGTTTTAGCATTGACTGTTTTAGCTGTGCGGATTTAGGCTTTTTGGGAAAATGGTTTTGTGGTGATTGGAGGGGGCGGTTGCCCCCTCTCCCCCTGCCCCCACCACTGAACCCATAAAAAACATATGAAGCAATGAAACATGAAACCAACGTACTATAATTTATACTTTTTGGCTGTGTACATATGTTTCAAGATATAGAAACATTTAACAAAATGATCTTTTCATTAATGCATATTACTAACCTCACCAGTTGTAAACTCTTTACTGACTATAGCAAAAAGAAAATAGATATATTTTGTAACATTCAGTTGCTGTGCAAACATGTTAAAGTTAAATCACCAAGTATGGATCTACTTTATTCAGGGAGGTTGCTTTTGGGAGAAGGGGATTTACTCATTTTTTTTTGGGGGGGGGGGCAGGGTGTGCATTTTCTGAGGGGAAGAACAGGGGAGGGACAAATTCTCCAGGGGGGAAGCCACCACTAGTGATCTGCCTTTCCTACCTTGTACGAACTCTGTGGAGACATTCATGTTTTTCATAGTTTTACGTATCAATTTTCCAGACTTGTCATCACCTTGCAGTGCCAGTAAGCCTGTTGGAACTAAGCAAGAATAAAGTATTAAAAAAGTTCATTCTGGTAATGAAAATGATTTAAGTACAGTACGTACTGTCTTGCTACTAATACTGGGAAATGTTTTTGCTTTTTTATGACTGACTATTGACTGTTGCAATCACAAAATATGTTGAATTATTCAACAATGAATTCAATCAATTACCTCCAAGAATAGATGCCCAGGACAAATGGTTTAATGTGACACCACCAACAATACTCTTCTCATGAGTTTTATTTGGACTATAAATTGCATATGAGTAAATAATGGAATCACAGGCTACCATACTTAAAGACATGATACACTTCAAATTGTATGTGGGCATTTTTATAAGACTTTGCTTCAACTTTTCAATTAAACAAACCTGGCAAAATATCCTTTCTCCCCAACCTTTGGTACAGCTAGAATTTAAGTAGAGAATTTCATTATGAGCTGAACATATAGTTGAACAAGCTTAGGCATATACCCATACCTGTGCAATGCAAAGCAAGATAAATATCTCCCTGGTTAGGCAAGCTAGTTTGGTTCCAATTATAAATGCAAATTACCAAACACTATATTGTGGCAATATGGGGCAACACAGGTAGCCGGGTAGCTCCACCCACATCCAGTTTAACCCATTAAGCACCAGCACTCTCCCCTTGACAAGTAAAATCATCTGGCATTAGACACAGTAAAACAATAAAGTAGGGTGCATCAGGGCACAATGCGACTCAATGGGTTAATTAGATACATGGGCAGATAGGCCAGTTAACTCATTAAGCACCATCACTCTCCTCTTGACAAGTAAAATTGTCTGGCATTAGACAAAGTAAAATAATAAAGTAGGGCACAACTAGATTCAATGAGAGGGCCATTACTCCCTCCTTAATGAGTAAAATCGTCTTGCGTTAGCCAGAGTAGTTTGATTATTATAACCCATTGAGCGTCAGAAATCTCACCTTCATCAGTAAAATTGTCTGGAGTTAGACAGAGCAAAATAATACAGTAGGGCACAATGGGCACAACGCGACTCAATGGGTTAAATAAACACTCATTATCCAGAAGCCTGACTGGAAAGTTTGCCAATTGCACAGCCGAGATTTAGAAAATGTAATGGTAAATATATAGAAAGCATCAAAATACTCAACCCAATATCTCAGTTGCCATGATACAAACTTTCCACAGTACTTTCTCCAAAGGTATTTGCATGCTTCAATATTCTTTGGCAGTGCCAGTAAGCAAACAATCTATAAACAATACTCTGGTTTATATACCACGTATGTACCTTGTACCATATAGAACTGGTCAACAACATTACTACCACATCCCAGCACTAGTTTGGGTTGCGCAGGACTACTTGATGAGAGGCATCTTGTCCAAACTTTGAATAATGATTGTTTGAAAATCATATTTCTGGTAAATGAACTGCCTGTGCGAACTCTATTAAATATTCTCCATAAATACACCAAAATACGGCGTGAAATTTTTACCCAAAGGATACAAATTTCATAAATATACAGACATTATTTACAAAGTTACAAAAAGTTGCAAAAAGTAACAAAAAAACAATAGATGAGTGTTTCCACTTCCTTCAATCAAGCAAGATTTCTTATTTTGCCGAAAATGTTTTTCCATTGAATTTTTGATTTTCTATTGTGTAAAATATATATTTTCAAAAATTTTTTAAATATTTGCGTTTCATAGAAAAAATTTTATATTATCCTTTTTGTTGATCAATTTTTCTCAAATGAGCTTAAAATAAGATTTTAAACGTGAAATTTATTGCAAAATTTGCCAGTGCATTTTTTAAGGATTCTTCATTGGTGGGGCAAAACTGTCAAAGGGTCCATTCCCTCCAGTATATTTTTTAGCCACGGCAGTCTGTGGCTAGAAATTATACGAGTATACGACCCAAAAAAGTATACGACCCAAAAAATGACTGGCCCAACAAAAATTTCTAGGGACCCCCAGTTTCTGTGGGCCCTGGGCAATTGCCCCCTCCTCCCCCCTCCCCTCTCCCCATCTCGGCGGCCCTGAAAAGAATACTGAAATCTGGTATACTTTTTAGCCACAGAACGCCGTGGCTAAAAAGTATACTGAAATCTGGTATAGGCTACTTTTTAGCCACAGAACGCCGTTGCTACTGAAGTATAGTGAAATCTGATATACTTTTTAGCCACAGACCGCCCTGGTTAAAAAGTATAGTTAAATCTGGTATACTTTTTAGCCGCAGACCGCCGTGACTAAAAGTATCATTAGTGAAATCTGGAATGATATACTTTTTAGCCACAGACCGCCCTGGTTAAAAATTATAGTTAAATCTGGTATACTTTTTAGCCACAGACCGCCGTGGCTAAAAGTATAGTGAAATCTGTAACAGTGTTACAAGTGTTACACTATCTTTATTTAGGGGTAGAGTTATTGGTGTGGTTAGGGATAGGGTTAGTGTGTGTAACACTATGTAACACGGTGGGGTTAGGGTTAGGGATGGGGTTAGGTGTTAGTGTGTATAAATCTATGTAACACTATGTAACACTATGTAACATGGTGGGGTTAGGGTTAGGGGTTGGGTTAGTGTGTGTAAAACTGTGTAACACTATGTAACACTATGTAACACTATGTAACACTGTCAACACTCTGTAGCACTATGTAGCACTGTGTAACACTATGTAACAATGTGTAACACTATGTAACACTGTGTAACACTATGTAAGAATATGTAACATTGTTTAACACTGTGTAACACTTGTAACAGTGTTACAACTGAGTGCAATAATAATGCCACCCTAAATCGTGCATGGTATACTGTATGTCCTGGTCCCTGGCTTTGGGGCAATTGGCAATTTTTTTTTCAGTGGTGGGGCGGAGGAACCCAGTGGGACAAATGCCCCACCAGTTCATGGTATTAAAAAATGCATTGAAATTCGCCTCCACTAAACCGAAATTTAACAATCAAAAACTATTGCTTTAGCTTGGGTGTCCTGTAGATTAGTAAGTGGACGCCATCTTGAATATAAATTGTGTATTTCTGAAAAGCATGTGTGAGAAAAACATGAAATATTTTGCGTAGATTTATTCTGATGTTGAATTTGAATCTCTAGAAAGTATTATATATAGAAGGGCCATTGTTTGAAAAACAATCATGGGTCGGCGATCTGTCAATACCACGAAAAGTGGGAAATTTATGAACCCCACTGATCAAGCAAGTAAGAAATGGATCCATTGTTTAATAGTTTGTTTACTATATTGCTGGGCTATTTGTAGCTTGATTCTAGTAGATAGTTGTTCTGGTAAGTAGGAGATCTAAGTAATTTGCTAGTGCAGACTTCTGATACGCAGTCACATCACTCGCATGCATGCCACAAAGTAATCAAATGTTGGCAACGTACTACCAAGTTGCATAATTTTTTGTGCACAAGCGTTTATACAGTAGACCTGATCCAATTTATACTAGGGATGATTGAACTTGAGCAAAGAAAAGACAGTTTGCCTGAGAATCTATTATTATGTGTATATATCTGCGGCAGATTATACGTCAGGACAAGATGACATCTGTGTTATTTATGTAGTTAGACAAGCTTGTGTGCATGCTACCATTGAGTGGTAACACTCTCCCCTTGACGGGTAAAATTGTCTGACGTCAGACAGAGTAAATTACTAAAGTGGGACACATCGGGGCACATTACCACTTAAAGGGTTGACACATGATATTTGTATATGCATTTACGAATGGAATAGTTTTCGGCGTCGGATTTCGCAGAAAAAATTGTTCGGATTTCAGATCTAGCGAATATTTTACACGGATTTGCGGATCTTATTAATACAGTGGATTGCGGATTTATCTAATATTTTGGCTCGGATTATGGATTTAGCTTGCAATTTCGTTCGGATCCTGGATTGTGACTTCATAGTAGAGCTTATAGCAGATTCACATTTAGACAAGACCATTGTTGGATCGCGGATTCAAATTTGGGCGGATCAACAGATTTGTATACCCCTATTCACCCCCCCCCCATTTACTGTATACTACAGTACTGCATACCGGTGTCACAGGAGATTCGCCCCCCAGGAGATTCGCCCCCCCTCTCAAAAGGGGGGCGATATTCCTAGGATATTCGCCCCCCCCGGGGCGAATCTCCTAGGAATATCGCCCCCCAGGGGGGCAAATCTCCTAGGAATATCGCCCCCCTTTAGGAATTTCGCCCCCCCCCATATAAGTTTTGAATTTTTGATCTAAAAACAAAACGATTGCAAGTTGAAAAGGTTTATTGTGTGATTTATTTATTTATTTATTACAAAGAGACAAAATTACATACACATTTTAGGCTTCTTAGCAGCTGGTAGTGTGCACACTGCAGTCTGCATAACCACTCATTTGAGGTACTTAGACTAGTGTCATATTCTACACATCTAAAGTGGAACCATTGCCCACAGAGATCGCATAAAATCCATATATGATAAAATCATGTTGTCGTATTCTTCTGACAGTTTACATTCACATAACATATTATAAAAACAATCGCTTGCAAATTTTATCAATACCAGTGTTAACAATAGCCGCCACAGTAATCAGTGACTAATCACTTGCTAACAATAAACTATAGGATTAATAAAAAATCTATGGAATGTGTTGGGAAGCGTATTGACTATTGCCCGTTGAATCATCAACTTTCCAGTCTTTCCATGTCAGTGTTTAATTTAATAGTGATGTAATCTTGATTCTTGACTTCCGCAAAGAAAATTGCATTATATATGTGGTGTGGTTTATTCAAATAATTTCATGATACTTTGACTTTATTAGTGCCTTAAACATTTGAGAATGTAACTCTGCAAAACTAAAAGCTTATTCGTCTTTTTTGAAACGTATATTATTGGAGTATTGCCTATTGGCAAGTTTTACCCTTCGCTTCTGAGATTTACAAACTATATTGAAATAATGCAAGTAAAAAATAGTGATAACTTATAAGCCACACATTTTCCAATAACGACAAAACGTGGATGTAAAACAATACCAATAATTACAATAACCACCACGGTGATTACTTTTTAACAATGAGTTTAAGGATTAACACTGAAATGCAAAATATGCATGGTGTGCTGTGAAGCGTCATAAGTCCTATTGATCTACTGTAACTGTGTAAGCCCTTTCGATACATGTAATTGTAAATTTGTATTCTTACATGCAGGGCTTGAAATAATAAACGTTCCCAAAGTTCACGATCATGGTGATCGGCAGTCATGAATTCCCTGCTTTTTTCAGGTTGGAAACCGAAACCCTGCTTTTCCGCCGATCATATTAAAGCAATTCCTTGCCGATCGGTGATCGGTTGTTATTTCAAGCTGTCTTAACAATTTTGAATTGATATTGATTTCAAATGATTAAAGCCATGTAATAATTATCCCATGCAACTGTTAGGAAGGGCGAAATATTGAACGGAGGACGAAAATCCTAAAGAAAAGGTGAAGTTTGTAAAGGGGGGCGAATTTCCTAAAGGGGGGCGATATTCCTAGGAATTTTGCCCCCCGGGGGGCGAAAGTGTAGGGGGGGGCGAAAATCCTGGGACACCGGTATTATAAAATTAGAAATTTGTATTGCATAAGCAATGCATCTTCCTGCATGGGTTCACTAGCCCAGATACTTTGGAAATAATTGCTAATAGAAATGCATGTGGTAATATGTTTCAAGTAAAGGTCAGAAAAACAGAATTTACTGTTATTCCCCATGTGTTTACGCCAAAACAGTCAAAACAGTCTGACCCATCAGTCAAATGAGTCCTGCATCATCTTGTATGTCATTTTTTGTCCACAGGGAAGGAAGCGAGAAAAAAGGAACTAAAAAAGGTATTTATTTGGTATAAAGTGTAGGAATTCAAGCTAGTAATATGTTAAAGTTTAACTCATTGAGCATCAGCGCTCTCCCCTTGACGAGCAAAATTGTCTGGCATTAGACAGAATAAAGTGGCACATAAATAGGCACATTAGAACGTAGCATGCCTGTCAGATGTTGGGATCCTAGGTAGCGGCACTACCTGCAAGTGCCTGAAGCTAATCCTTGGTCAGAAGGTCTTACACATGCTTAAGTAAAGTAGAAAATTTCAATTTTTCCGAATACATTTTGCAATTATTTAGCGATTTAATAAGAGTCGTACTCAATAGGGGTGCACCGGAACCAGTTTTTTAAGTTCCGGCCGGAACCGGATCCAACCGGAACTGGAAAAAAGTTCCGGCCGGAAGTTCCGGCCGGAACCGGAACTAATTTATTAAGCCATATATAGTCATATGTTACTTTGTCCACTGCCAGACAGGCAGACACTTCAAGTCATAAAGGAGAGAGCTAGCAAATGTTAGAATAAAAAGATTGACAAGCGTTAAACGTCATAATGAAGTGTTAGTAGTGTACATTTCCCTTGCGTAGTCCAAATTTCTTCCTACTGTGACCTTTTGTTAGACACAAAAACGTTTGATATTCTATCTCTCTGAAAACAACAGAGTTCCGGTTCCGGCCATGCTTTTTTTACTAGTTCCGGCCGGAACCGGAACTCTAAAAAATCGGGGTTCCGGCCGGAACT